TAAAGGAAGGAAGGAAGAAGGAAGGAAGGAAGGATGAAGGAAAATAAAGGAAGGAAGGAAGGAAGGAAGGAAGGAAGGAAGGAAGGAAGGAAGAAAGAAAGAAAGAAAGAAAGAAAGAAAGAAAGAAAGAAAGAAAGAAAGAAAGAAAGAAAGAAAGAAAGAAAGAAGAAAGAAAGAAAGAAAGAAAGAGAGAGAGAGAGAGAGAGAGAGAGAGAGAGAGGGAGGGAGGGAGGGAGGGAGGGAGGGAGGGAGGGAAAGGAAAGGAAAGGAAGGAAAGGAAGGAGGGAGGGAGGGAGGGAAGGAAGGAAGGAAGAAAGAAGGAGGGGAGGGAAAGAAGGCAAGGAAGAAGGGAAGGAAGGAGAAGGAAGAAGGAAGGAAGGCAGGGAGGGAGAGAGGGATGGAGGAAGGGAAGGAAGGAAGGAAGGAAGGAAGGAAGGAAGGAAGGAAGGAAGGAAGGAAGAAAAAATATGTGCATAATCTGAATCTGAGATCATTTTGGGTGTTCATAGCCATGAACCTCTTTCATGAGGTTTCTAGCCTTCAGCCAAGTTAACCAAAGTGGGTACAGTGAGGGGGAAAAGGCATCAAGTGCTGCAGGCCAAGCTGCAATGTCAGGCATGGAGGGAGGAGACTGGGCCCAAGGGTCCCCCAAACAGCAATGGTGAGAAGTTCTGTGATGCCACCTAGAGAACATTCTTACCACAAACACTCAAAATAATCCACATAGGGTAGAAAAATGGGAAGGCCGTTACATAATTATTAATGCTAACAGCAACTCAGCAATAACCTGACCCTAGGATCAGAGTCAACAATTTCCCATGGGCCACAGCACAAAGGGGACAATAGCTCTCTCTGTACCATTCTTTTCTAATGCATGGCTCCTGGGTTTGCCTGATCCCCACCAGTGTGGGAAGAGCCACAGGGTTCCAACGGCTGTTTTCTTTCCATCAAACATTTGCTTATTTTTCTCATCTTAAGTATTGTTATTGATAGGACACATGCCTAATGGACGATAAAAGATCCCGTGCGTGTGTGTTTCAGACAAAAAACAGAGTGAAATTATAAGACTGACCTAAAAACCAATAAAGTTCCCCTTCTCCAATTTCTCCAAAGCTCTTACTGGATTTTGATACCCAGCAAGGGTCCTCAGACACCTTGGAATTGCCCGCAGGAACACTTGATGTTACCGTGTTCAAATCAAAGGGTATTAAACATTAAAGCACTTGGAAAACATTGCAGGTCTGCAATGGTTTGATCTGTATAGTGCGCGTGCGCGCGTACATACACACACACACACACACACACAAACACCCCAACATACACAGCCCAGTACACACAGGCAGATGCATCTTTTCTTTGGCGGACTTCACTATCCTTTCTTTAGGAACTTAACCCCAATAAGGAGGTTGATTTCCAAGGATAACATCGGAAGTTGCTTGCCATCCCTTCTTTTGAAAATCTCTATAGAATTCCACAAGTGTGTGCGTCTTCGTTATCAACAATGGCTATTTCTGCGTGTCTCCATTGGTCATCTCTACATCCCCAATGCCTGGTGTAAAGCCTGATGCACAGTTGGATTAAATAAATATTTGATAAATTTAAATGCAGTTGGAATTCAAGAGGAGATGAGGGAACAGGCAGAAGCTTTGGTTGTGGTGAATTGGGGTTTAATGACTCTTGTTTATACACACACACACACACACATACACAGAGAGAGAGAGAGAGAGAGAGAGAGAGAGAGAGAGAGAGAGAGACGTGCGTTCAAGGAGATAAGAAGGCTGGAAACCAGGAAGTTCCAAAAGGGCATAAATTGACTCTCCAACTCAACTTTCTTAAACTGGGGCTCACATACCACTGGGGTCCCCAGAGACTTTCTGGCAGTATGTAGGCATATGGATAGCTTTAAGAGATTTAGTTTCCATATTTTCTGCTTCCATATACGTGCCTCCCAAAGCTGACCTGCCATCTCTGTGGCCGCTCTGCTTCTCCATATTCCCTTTTCACAGCTGCCCTCCTCCTTCTTTAATAAAGGAAAATTGCCCACCTATTCTCAATCTTACGAGGGTGCAATTTCCTAAGGAGTAAAAACTCCTCAGCCCCAAACCAAGGTATCATTTGAGTCAGCATCAGTTTAGAGGGAGAATTCCCAGGGCAAAGAAAGAGCATTTCAAAAAAATTTGAAGGCCACGGTGCCATATTTTATTCAGGCAATAAATTCATAGCACAGCTTTGTGCCTTATATATCTATCTGGCCAGCCAGCTGCCTACTTATCCTAAAACCAGAACTCAGAAGGATGAAGATTGGCCAAGTACACATGTTAACACATTCACTTGAATCAATGAAGAAACTCCTTTCTTTATACTGACTAAAAGCTAGTCTAGCTTGGCTGATGGTTTGACAATCAGAAATGACTTTGCAGTTAGGTCATGTAACCTGACCTAATAACTTTTTCATAAATTGAAAGGTTTTAATGAAGATATACTTAAAGCATGTATACGATATACACCAGTGCTTCTCAGACTTAAATGTGCACATGAATCACGTGGGGATCTTACTAAAATGCTTATTCTGATTTAGTGGGACTGGAGAGGGACCCAAGATTCTGCATTTCTAACAAGCTGCCAGGGGATGCTGATGTTGCTGACTCATGCATCCGACTTTGAGCTGTGAGAACATACAATGTGCTGGAAAATATACTTTTATGATGAATTCAACTTATGATTAGAAAATTCAGATATCAAATGTAAAATATACAAGGGGTGCTTGATTTTTTCAAAAAAAAAGTATTTTTAGGAAGTATTCCAGCAAGAAAAGGTGGTAGACCTCCAATGTGGGTCACAGCTGGCAGTCTGACCCCAAGAAGTTTGAATCCAGCCTCTATTATCTGTGCAAGACAGAACTATACTTCTGCTTTGGAGTTAATCCCAGAAGAATTTACTTCTTTTCCAGCCCTTCACATAGCTTGTGCTTTATGGTGACAGACTCAATGGCCCAAACCTTCAGCTGTGGGAATCATAGCTTCAGCCATTGAATGCACACAGCCCAGTCAGCTGGCAGAGTGGGCAACAAACCTACAAACAATCAGCAAGGCACTCAGGTTCTTGATTAAAGAGTAAATGGCTTCATAAACACAATCATAACAACAGCGGCATGAGTTGGTGCATGTCAACGTGCACATTTGGGTAGAGAGGGCCCAGAGACACATATTTTGGCAGGTGCTAGGTCTTGGCAAGACTGTAAGCAGAATCACAAAGCAGCCCAAGTCTGTGGTCAGTCTCAACTTCCTATCAGTACCCCTTTGCCATCCAGGCACCCCGTAAAGGTGGATTTGGTCTCTTCCACATTCCATTAAGTGTAGCCTCAATTCCCAACACAAACCCACACCACACCTCTTTTAAGGAATTTTATAGCAAAAACTTAACCTAAACATGTATCCCCAAATCCTCTGGACTAGCAAAATCCTATTCAAGTTTATCTCCATGTCAGAGAGGTGGGAAATATATCAAGTTCTGTCAGCAGGTCAGCCAGGCCGAGCATGCCAAGTGATCTGGCTTTATAGACAGCAGATTAATCTCAAAGCTGGAACTACTTTAAGACCAGGAAGTAGCCTCTTTTCTGATTAAAAGATAAGTCAATAATTCTGGGTCCTTGGTCCACCACTGTGATAGATCCCTTGCAAAACAGGCACTCTCAGGCAGTCTTCTCTGCAGAGCAACCATGATGGATACTGACTACTGCCTTGAAAGTGCTTTGACACCCCCAGATGGAAGGAACTAATCAATTATGCTTCTCACTTAGAAGCACGCTGCTCATTCATGATGAAGATAGAAGTCCAGATAAAAGTAGAATTACTGGGAGCCCAAGATGCAGAAAGAAAATGAGAGAGCTGAGCTGGTCACTTTCAATGATGTGCATGTGCCCCAAGCCTTTGAAACACATGACATTTTCCAGCAGCCAAGCACTCATCAAATTGCAGAATGTCGAAGCTACAAGGAAACTCAGCAATTATTTAACGATTCAAATTACTTTTATTATAGTGAAGAGGAAGCTGAGGCCTAGAAAGGTAAAATAACCTGTCATATAGCTGAACAGCAAAAGGAACAGACTCATTACCCTGGTGATCTCCTGCCACACAGCCCACCTCATGAAGCTCTCTCTCAGGCCAAGTTTAACAGACGAGAGAACAAGGGGCAGTCTGCCTATGCAAAGTAGGTACACACAACAAGATTAGAGCAAAGCGGGTTTCCTCCCCTGAAGCTAAACAGCCCCCATAAGTCAGCCTGAGGGGATGTTACGTGTTAGGATAATTTCCTAGGTGTGCTGGCAGATGTTTCACCAGCATGGGTGGTGGGGACCCTTATTTGCCATATTTGCCAATTTCTGTAGTGTAAGTACTCTCATCATTGCAGATTTCAAGCTACCAACTTGATGTCACTGAACAGCAGTTGAGGAGAGATACGTGCAATCAGCTCTTGTGAGGTGATAGAAGCTGGATCCTCCACACCACTGGAATTTCTGAGAAGTCTACATCACGGGTTTAGGAATGAAATAACTTTCTGGCCCACAAGAATAAAACACCAGGTTTATGAGGAAAATCCTAGAAGCATACACTCTAGCGTTCACTCACTGAAACTCTGGTTCTCTCTGGATCTCCTAGACCTCACAGTTCCTATATCCATGGGATCCAGAGAGAATCAAAGTTTGGAGAAGTTACTTGGTCCATCATGTCTGTATCTCCAGGTAGTGTCCTACCAAACTAATCCAAGGCAGGAGCATTGAGAGGTGGAATCCACATTCCCTATCCTAATGCTTTGGGCAACCAAGCATTCCTTTCCCAGCGTAACAGGATCCAGTTTCCAAGGTCATACGTGAGCTCAGAACCCCATCTTTACCAACGTCAAAGGCGGTGCTTGGATTCAGCTTCAGGTAGGCCTCCTTAGTTCATGTAAGCAGGAAGAAAAACATGTAAAACTGAATTCCTCCTCAATTTCTTTCTTTCTTTTTTTTTTTTTTTTTTTTTGGCTGAGAAGAGTTCCAAGGCTGAGGGCAGCAACTCATCACGAAAAGTTCTTAGCCTGTTCTTTCTTTTTGCCAAACATTGATTTGCTAATAGAGAAAATAACTGGTGTATAAACAAAAGTGGTTGATGACATCCGAGGGTCTGGAGCAATTCCTCCACATCATTCTGACAGCTAACAAATGGAACTAGCTCTTAGGGAGCATGTTTAAGGAACAGCTGGAATATGTAACGGACATTTTTCTGTGAATTTGACAGGTCAAGCTCCATCATGGTTGAGCTACACTCACCGGATGTGGATCAGAATGAACTCTGCCATTCCTCGGAAGGTTGCCAAGAGGGCTTTGAAGAGAAGGGAATCCAAGGAACTCAGCTTCAGACATGGAGAACAATAAAGACCAGACAAATCAAAAGCAAACCTGATTTAAAGAGAAAGATCTATAAGTGCCAGTTGTTCAGCTTTCTCCCTGGTTTCCTGACCCTATTATGAGCGCCACCAAAATGAAATAAGTACAGCTCTTTCCAGAGGGTCACTTGGAGGGAAGACCCTGCCATATGTCACCTATTGGTTTTTAGCTTCACCACCACCCCAACACTTGATAAAGTCAACATATGTGAGTTCCTAAAAGATATAGAATGTACAAGATACTTTCTGTTATACAAGGATACACTCCAAGCATCATTAAAATGGCAAACTCACTTAGGACCCCTAAGATAAACTGATTTACCAAAATCCAGTTTATTCTTAGCGTATGAGGAGCACATCCATTCTCTAAAGCAAGGAGATTTTCAAGATCAATGAGCAGAGAAACTTTTCAAAAGAATTTTACAGAACTGTTTAAGATAACAAGCAAACTAACAAACTATTGAGTAAACCTAGTACTATTCATTTTATTCTTCCAAACTCAAGGGAGTTATTCCAAACAATAACGTACCTAGAAAAGAACCTGTGAAGATTGCAAGATTATCTAAAGAAGCCACCGGGGCAAGAGTGGTAGACATGCTTCTCCACACGGCCCTGCACCAAGACCACTCATTGTGAACTCCACCCAAATGTATAAACCTTTGGGAAGCAAAGGATGAATTGATTAGCTGCAATCTGTAGGCCCAATCAATCCATCTCCACACTGTAGGGACCTGCACAGGATCTCTCCTCAAAGTCTGGTCTTTCATGAGGAGAAATTCACCTCATAAAAGACACGATCAGAAGACATGACAGCCTGGAGGAGAAAACTACTGCTAGGTCAGTGGAAGTTCTCCTGTTTATGAAAGTGAGAAGAGCACAGAGCATTTGTCTCTCAGCTTCTGTCTCCCTTGCAGTCTTCTCACTTATTATAATTCAAAAATCACCTCCATTTCAAGGAATCCTTCTCCTTCGGGGCTTCCAGCTCAAGGTGGTCTGGTTTGACCTCTCCTGACACCACTTCCTCCCTCCACCCCAAAGTAGATTAGGCTCACCTTGGATAAACACCAGAACTTGATGATTAAAACATTCAGAGCAAAAGATCTTCAGAGGTCATGCCAACTGATAAGCCAAGTTAGTAGTAAGGCATAAAATAAGGCGTTACTGTCTTTGTTCTGTGCTGATCCATGTGTCGTCCTGCCTACCGTGCCAGCACTTTGGTCTGTGAAACATGCAGAAAAGGCAAGAGAAACACAACTGCTGACAAGAGGAAGAGGAAAGGAAGAGCACTTCCAGCAGGCACTCACTGCCTTGCCTTAATTCTTACCACTTCCACAAGCCTTTTCATCTTCAAAGCACTTGAGGAACACTAGCTAATTAATCCTCCCAACATCCCTGCAAGGTGAGGAAGGATTATCTCCATTTTACAGATGGAGAAATGGAATATTTTGAACACAGGCATAAAACCCAGTGACAGATAGAATTGCCAGAAACTGGGCTGGGATCCTTCCTGGTATCTTTGATGCCCACTCAAGCCTGCCAAGCTATCTCATCCCCAACCTGAGGACTGCCAAAAGCTCCTAACCAGGATGTAGCCATGCAGACAGAGGGCCAGAGGCAAGACAGACAAGGCTCTCATGCTAACCCTTCCAAGTCTCTAATTAATTCATTATCTCACTGGACTGTCTGGTTAGGGGAGGCCCCTTTTGAAGCTTAGATGGAGGAGGAGGAGATGCCTGCTCAAGTCTTCTTCTAAGCAATTATTTGATATTCCTCTCTCATATCTTCACCCTGGTTGATATTTTAAACCATTGATGAAGACAGCACGTGCAATGATAGAAATCCACATTAAATCCTTCCTGGAACCAAGGCAGGTTCTAAACAAATACATGAAAAGCCATTGGCACAGTGCTTTTATTATTCAAGTTTTCTCATATTTTGAGACAGGACTTTCTCTTAATCAAACCCCAGCTGCAAATGCCAGTTGGAACCCTGATCAAAACCTACTAATTAAATGCAGTGTAGGAATTTCATGTCTGTCCCAGGCCTATTACTCAAGGCATAGTTCCAAACTGTGGTGGTCTTAGAATTTCTTGGATTTTTCAAAAGATCTAAAAATCACGTGGAGATTCAGACTGCTAGTGCATTTTCAGAATTGCCACTTTGAAGTTTGACCCAGTCACCCTGTCAGTAGCTATCATCAAATCTTACCAACTTCTACATTTTTTTCATAATATTACCCACCCCTAGAAATGAAACCTGTGTGCTTCACTCAACCAAGTATATAACAAATAAAGAACTTGGAGCTCACCTTCCCTACTCTTCCAAAGTGTCTCATAGGTTCTTCTTATCAGAAAGTACCCAAAAATGTTTGTGAACTAAAATGTAGAAGCAGTGGCAGTAGGTTTATGACAGTGACTCTCAACTGAGAGTAATTCTGCCTCACCAGGGATATCGGCAAAATCTGAAAATATTTTTGGTGTCACAACTGGACAAAAGAGGAGTAGATACCACTGGTACCCAGTGAGTGGAGAACAGGGGTGTGACTAAACATCCTACAGTGCACAGACAGCTCCACAGCAAAGAATGATCCAGGCCCAAATGTCAGTAGTGCTGAGGGTGGGAAATCCTGGATTTGAAAAGAACCACCGAGATGAGACACATGCTAAGCATATAGAGGGTTTTCAATAAAAACCTATAGATCGATGGTCTGAATCATTAGCTGCCCTATCACTGGGACCAACTCCTACTGCCAAAACAAAGTCAGACAGACCCAACTAACAACAATTCAGTTGGCAATTCTACTTTTTTAGAACCTAAGTAGAATCCTGATAGTTTTGTTACCCAAGTCTGTGAATAAAAGCATAAGGTTTATTTACTTTAGAAGTCTCACAGGCATAATATTGATCAAAAGAACCCAACACAAAAGATACATATTATTATTGTATGATTCCATTTATATGAAGTTCAAAAACAAACAAAATAAATCTATGATAACAGAGGTCTGAATAGTATTTTCTGTTGTGAAAGGCGAGGTATGAGTATTGACTGAAAAAGGTGCATGAAGGAACTTTTTGGATCACTGGAAATGTTCTATATCTGTATCTGATTGGTGGTCACATAGATGTATACACACATGAAAATTTATCAAGCCATATACTTAAGATTTATTCACATTACTGTATGTCAGTTATACCTCATTTTTTGAAAAGGAAAACATTAATTCAAAATAAAAAGTAGAGGCCAGGCACAGTAGCTCACACCTGTAATCCTAGCATTTTGGGAGGCCGAGGTGGGTGGATCACCTGAGGTCAGGAGTTCAAGACCAGCCTGGCCAACATGGTGAAACCCCATCTCTACTAAAAATACAAAAATTAGCCAGGTGTGGTGGCACACACCTGTAATCCCAGCTACTTGGGAGGCTGAGGCAGGAGAATTGCTTGAACCTGGGAGGCAGAGGTTACAGTAAGCCAAGATCACACCACTGCACTCCAGCCTGGGCGACAGAGCAAGACTCTGTCTCAAAAATAAAATTTAAAATAAAATAAAATAAAATAAAGTACAAAAAAGAAAAACAACAACAGTATAAAAGTTTAAAACCACGGTTTTCAACAGGTAGACTTACGTTAACACAACTCGTTCAAATGGTAAATATTCACAGCTTTCATCCAAATTTCATTTCCAACAGTTGTCTTCTTTCTTAATTAAAATGCAAATACAGACTTGATAGCTAGAAAACAAGGCAGGAAAAAAATGACTCTCTGCCAGAAAGAACACACCAACTTATTTCTCCTTCAAGCAATGAAATTAAATCCAGGTCTGAGAGACCAGGTCTGTCTCCACAATCCAGGCTGGCGTGTGTGTGTGTGCGTGCACACACACATACACACACACACACAGAGCTGCCTTTGATGTGGCTGCCTGGGGCAGCTCATAACAGGAATAACACTACCTAAAAATCTAAACAATTGCACTTCATAATTAAGAAACCACCCCTGTCCTCTCCCTCCCAAGAATAAAAAAAATCATTAGTTTCCTGCTACTGAAAAAAAAAAAAAGATGGCAAGTACTTTTAAAATCAGTAAATTCTCATCTGTCCCCCAAATTAATTCCTTCATTTTAGTAGTCCCCTCCATGTAACACCTGTCTCTATATTTCTCATTTCCATTTTAAAAGCATACCATTATAAATCATTATAAAAATGTTATAACTGTAAGTAAGAAGTCAGAAGAATGCAGGAAAACAATATTCAACTGCCAAAGGAGAAATTAGTACTTTTTAAAATGACAATTATTAAAGAATGCCAATACACATTTACTGAGATTAGGCCACTGTGAGGTTGAAGATTGCTTTTCTATAAGGAAGTTCAAAATATCTACAAATAATTTTTTATGTGATCTCTCTCTTTGCTTGGATTTTGAGCTTTAAGAGGACAGGAACTACTTTGCCAACTTTATATTTAAAATGCCAAGGTAAGTGCAAAACCATCAAAGGCCTTCAGCGTCTGTCTGGTGAACGATAGATGGATGGATGAATGGACAAGTGAATGAGTGGAAGCATGGATGGCTGGTTGAATGGATGGGTGGACTTATGGATGGGTGAATGAGTGGATGGGTAAATGGGTGCAAGAATGGATGAGTGGATGAATAGATGGGTGGATGGGTACATGGATAGTTCAGTAAGTGGGTGGATGGAAGAATGAATTGATGGGTGGATTCATAGATGAGTGTATGAATAAATGGATGAGTGAATAAATTAATTAATGGATTCTTGGATGAGTGCATGGGTGCATGGGTAGATGGATGAGCAGATAAGGGATAAGAAGATGAAAGTCAGGTTAATGCGTGAATGGATGAATGAACAAAGCACTAGCAAATAAATCATATGCTTTGGCAAATTATTTTTTAGCTTCTCAAGTTTTTTTCATTAAATATCTCATTATAACATTTCTCAGAGTCAAGTTTAGAGTCGGTACACAGTTAATATTTATTACCTGGTTAATACTAATTTTAAAAATTAAAATACAAACTCATTTTAGAAAGGGGAAGGAATCAGCAGATTGCATGCTGAGATAGAATACTATAGGGTAATCAGGCAAGAGAAAGAAATCAAGGGTATTCAGTTAGGAAAAGAAGAAGTCAAATTGTCCCTCTTTGCAGATGACATGATTGTATATTTAGAAAACCCCATTGTCTCAGCCCAAAATCTCCTTAACCTGATAAGCAACTTCAGCAAAGTCTCAGGATACAAAATTAATGTGCAAAAATCACAAGCATTCTTATACACCAGTAACAGACAAACAGAGAGCCAAATCATGAATGAACTTCCATTCACAATTGCTTCAAAGAGAATAAAATACCTAGGAATCCAACTTACAAGGGATGTAAAGGACCTCTTCAAGGAGAACTACAAACCACTGCTCAGTGAAATAAAAGAGGACACAAACAAATGGAAGAACATACCATGCTCATGGATAGGAAGAATCAATATCGTGAAAATGGCCATACTGCCCAAGGTAATTTATAGATTCAATGCCATCCCCATCAAGCTACCAATGAGCTTCTTCACAGAATTGGAAAAAACTGCTTTAAAGTTCATATGGAACCAAAAAAGAGCCCGCATCTCCAAGACAATCCTAAGTCAAAAGAACAAAGCTGGAGGCATCACGCTACCTGACTTCAAACTATACTACAAGGCTACAGTAACCAAAACAGCATGGTACTGGTACCAAAACAGAGATATAGACCAATGGAACAGAACAGAGTCCTCAGAAATAATACCACACATCTACAGCCATCTGATCTTTGACAAACCTGAGAGAAACAAGAAATGGGGAAAAGATTCCCTATTTAATAAATGGTGCTGGGAAAATTGGCTAGCCATAAGTAGAAAGCTGAAACTGGATCCTTTCCTTACTCCTTATACGAAAATTCATTCAAGATGGATTAGAGACTTAAATGTTAGACCAAATACCATAAAAACCCTAGAAGAAAACCTAGGTAATACCATGCAGGACATAGGCATGGGCAAGGACTTCATGTCTAAAACACCAAAAGCAACGGCAACAAAAGCCAAAATTGACAAATGGGATCTAATTAAACTAAAGAGCTTCTGCACAGCAAAAGAAACTACCATCAGAGTGAACAGGCAACCTACAGAATGGGAGAAAATTTTTGCAATCTACTCATCTGACAAACGGCTAATATCCAGAACCTACAAAGAACTCAAACAAATTTACAAGAAAAAAACAAACAATCCCATCAAAAAGTGGGCAAAGGATATGAACAGACATTTCTCAAAAGAAGACATGCATACAGCCAACAGACACATGAAAAAATGCTCATCATCACTGGCCATCAGAGAAATGCAAATCAAAACCACAATGAGATACCATCTCACACCAGTTAGAATGGCGATCATTAAAAAGTCAGGAAACAACAGGTGCTGGAGAGGATGTGGAGAAATAGGAACTCTTTTACACTGTTGGTGGGATTGTAAACTAGTTCCACCATTATGGAAAACAGTATGGCGATTCCTCAAGGATCTAGAACTAGATGTACCATATGACCCAGCCATCCCATTACTGGGTATATACCCAAAGGATTATAAATCATGCTGCTATAAAGACACATGCACACGTATGTTTATTGCGGCACTATTCACAATAGCAAAGACTTGGAATCAACCCAAATGTCCATCAGTGACAGACTGGATTAAGAAAATGTGGCACATATCCACCATGGAATACTATGCAGCCATAAAAAAGGATGAGTTTGTGTCCTTTGTAGGGACATGGATGCAGCTGGAAACCATCATTCTTAGCAAGCTATCACAAGAACAGAAAACCAAGCACCGCATGTTCTCACTCATAGGTGGGAACTGAACAATGAGATCACTTGGACTCGGGAAGGGGAACATCACACACCGGGGCCTATCATGGGGAGGGGGGAGGGGGGAGGGATTGCACTGGGAGTTATACCTGATGTAAATGACGAATTGATGGGTGCTGACGAGTTGATGGGTGCAGCACACCAACATGGCACAAGTATACATATGTAACAAACCTGCACGCTATGCACATGTACCCTAGAACTTAAAGTATAATAATAAAAAAAAAAGAATACTATGGCATAGAGAATTAAAATAAATCTACAACCACCAGATTTGCTGAAGAAAGTCACGATCAATACAATGGAAATCGAAAAATCCATGAGGGATACACATAAGGTAAACATGAATTTGCTCCCAATATCTAGAAATATCAGGAAAGACAGAATTACTTATTCCAAAAGTATTTATAAGCAATTCAAAATTATGACTTTCTAGAAAAGAAGCTATCATATGCCTTACATTTTAAAGTGATATCAGGAAACAATTTTAGCTTTTCATGATACATACCTTACAGTTGGTTGGCCGCAGAGCCTTGAGGTGGGCGATTCATGGCCATGACTAGAACTTTCTAGAACTTCTAGGCCATTATTCTTTATACACTAAATCTCACATTCTCACTTTCTAGAACTTCTAGGCCATTATTCTTTATACACTAAATCTCTAAATATTATCTCTTTCTATCATATATATGCACACATGGGCACGTATATGATTCTTAAAGCAGCAGACCAAGTTTAAGCAACATTACATAAATTGACACAATTCAGGGCAAATACCACCCACGCTTTCCACAGCATTAAAGACAACAGTTATTTTTTTCATGTTGTCTACATGTGCATTTTGTCTACATTTTTGTTCTCACTTCAATCCAGAAACAGCAGTCACCCAAAAGCTTTCTTTAAATGTTCCTATTCTGAGAAACATACTAGATGGCAGAAGTTTATGTCCAGGTTCAGAAGGTTGAAAAAGAAAAATGAAAAAGAAAAAGAAAAATGTTTCAATTGAGAATTTTAGTGCAAACCAAAGATTAACAGCTCAGAACTCAATTTAAAAATGTTCCTGGTGCTGATGGCAGGCCACTGAAGAGTTTAAACAAATGATCTGCCCATAAGCAGTACCATGTCTTTCAGATTTCCAGGCTCCGTACTAAAAAGGGAAAATTCTGTTTATGAAAGTCTATAGCAAAACTTGCTGATTTTACGATGCATTTAATAAAAGGAAAGGATATATGTTAAACTATAAAGACACTAAGATTAAACTGCAACAAGAATATCTACAGCAGAATAATCCCATTCCTTTTTGGTCCTGTCCACAAATACATATACAAGAGAAGGAAGGAGTGGTCTCTGCTCCAAGAGCCTTAGCTGCGAAACTTAACGTTTATCAGTCTCCAGCTGGACATCAATATTCTCCTCTACTTGCTCTTTGCTGTTAGAGCTATTCTTTCTTTTCCTTCTTTCCTCCTTCTCTTAGTTTTCCTTATTCATTCTTTGACTCTCTCGTGCCCTCAGTTTCTTTTCATTTATCCTCTTTCCTTCACTTTCAAATTAAATGGGCTGAATAAACATCATCACAAAGAGAAGCCTTGCGAAAATGCACTGGGAAGGACCATTGCACCAGGCCTTTGCAAAAAAAAATTATCATAGGCTCTAATGCCACACAGAGATATGAGGACGCACAAATCCTCAGATAATAGAGATTTATCTTTTCTGCAAAGTTAGCCTGAACCTGGAAGAAGTTGAGGGAATTTCTGGCCTCCTTGGCATTGGATTGAAGGCAGCCAAGAGTGAGGAGAAAGAAACTATCCTGTTTTGACAGATTAGAATTGGGACCTCTGGGGACATCCTCCAGGTAGATCCCACTGAAGAAACTGTATTTGTAAAATTTCTCCCAGAAATGTAGGAGGAAATTACCCAGAAGGGCCAGTCCATTTCAGGATGATGAAGAGGTTATCTCTACACTTCTAACCTATTTTTAAATAAGCAATAGTAAAACGTCTCCAACATTCAGAGAATGAATGAATTCTCTGAATGCATCATCTTGCTCTCTCATAACATTAAGGCATTCACACATACACTTGCCATTTAGCTCATTGTTTACCTTCTCTTTTTGCATTAATGCCTTGCTACTACGTGGTTTTGTTGGAAAGAGTCCTTGATAGACAAGGACAGCACCTTCCAAATATTCTGCAGTGAAAATATCAGGCTTTGTGCTTAAGAGGAGATTTGAGCAGTCTCGTGATAAATAATAAAAATGAAGCCTATGCTTTTCCAGGACTTTGCAATTTTTGAAGTTCTTTCATGAACATGCTCTTGGGTGGCAAGCATAATCCTGACCTGAGTTGCTTAAAATGAGGCATCTGCAAATGTGGCTGCAAATGGAGGCCATCACTGACAAAACGGAAAATTGCAAAATTAACCAAAGGTACAACATTGACACACAAAATCTGTGGTCTTTTATTTCTTATCCAAATGTGAGTCACTAGACTGTTCACAGAACATTCTGCAGAATATGCAGATATCTTTACCACACTGTAACTTCTATGAACATGTTTTTAATGACCAATTAGGATTGGTCTGATTAACACAATGCCAATAAGGACAGTAATGCAGGAAAAAATTTTTTCTCAGATAAGCCAATGATTAATCACTGTAAATTACAAAATGGGCCCTGAAGGCCATAAGTTAGTAAAATTATTGCTAAAAATTTGGATTTTATATTGCATTTTGTTTTACTTTTAGCAGGTGGAAGAGTTTCATCACAAGTTTTGTGGCTGACATGATGACATGAAACCAAAGTGGTTCTGATGCAATCGCCCAATCTTAGTGCATTTGCTCCTGCTGCTCTGCCTATCTACCCTAACATGGTTTATATAATTCCAAAAGGTTTCAGGAAAAGAATAATTTTTCAGATAAAATCATTACTGAATGTTCACTATTTAAATGTAGAGAGCTTGTATGTTAATTTTTAAAACCTTTTAAAAAATATGTTCTTATAAATTACATATTGTCTATGGCTGTTTTTTCTTTACAACAGCAGACTTTGGGTAGCTGTGACAAAGACTAAATGTCCCACAAAGCCTAAAATATTTACTATCTGGTCCTTTACAGAAAACAATTTGCTGACCCTGGTATGCAATACTTCAATTTAGAAAAAAAAAATCTTAGTTTTTGTGTCTTTGAAACTTAGACTCTGTGTGTGTGTGCGTGTGTGTGTGTGTGTGTATTCTGTCTTCTTAAATTCACAGACCCACACATACAGCAGCATTGTGTCATCACATAACAACATTGAAG